ATGAATTCATATGCAAAGATCACAACTTTTTGTTCTCATGAGTTAAAAGATAGGCTCTTTGATGATGGGTTGTGGATGCACAAAGCTTTGGGGGGTTTCTATGCAAAATTTGCAATGGGGCCGAAATTGGGGGGCTTTTGTGCAAAAGAGGGATGAAATTTGTGGGGGTTTATATGCAAAATGAGACTAAAATTTTGAGGTTTGGACTTTAGACCCACTTGGCCACAACTTTGAGGGGTGCTTCATGCAAAAAGATCACAAATTATTGAGGGTTTTATGTGCAAATATGGGCTGAAATTCTTTTAGGGGCTTATTTGCAAAATTGGTCGGAGAATTGAGGTGGTGTTCATGTAATAAAGGACTGAAATTAGGATCTAGATTACATGCTCATTTGGTCGAAAGTTTGAGGGGTGCTTTATGCAAGAGGACCAAAAGTTGTTGAGGGGTTTATTTGCAAAAGAGCAATCCCACGAAGTATAGGGGGTTTATTTGCGAAAGGGCTGAAATTTTAGGACTGAAATTCCAAAAGTTTAGATCACAAACCTATGACCAAAGTTTTGATAAAGGCATGCGGAAACTAAACCGAAATTTGTGGGGGGTCTCTTTTTTTTGCAAGATTGGCTAAATTTTACAAAAAGGGTTCATTTGCAAAATTAACCAAAATTGTGGGGTGTTGGGGGTGCTAGATGATCAAATATGATGACCATGACCCAACTCAAGCGTGTCCTTGACCTGAATTTAGCCTTGAACACGAGGGGTATTTTGGGTATTTCACCAAAATTTACCGTAAAATGACAATCATTGTTTTGTATGCACGAAATTTGTAGGTTTAATTAGACTTCAACTATAAAATCCTATTTATTCATAGGACTTTAGTTCAAGTTCTTAATTTCCCTTTTATATTTCGTGTATTCATATTTTAGATTATATCTGACTTACTACTTTTCTTTGCAGATTTTCAATGCCTTCATCGCAGGTTTTCGATGCCTCCACGCCGATCTCGACTTCCTAGGAGTCGATCCCATTCGCAGCCTAGCGAGGAAGAAGTTCCCGCAGCATCCTCCCCTCCAGCGGCTTCCTTTTTTGGGGGTGAGAATCTTTATATCTGTATCCCTGATTGACCCCTTCGCGGGTCATTAAGGAAGAACCGATACCCTCTTTCGCGGAGGTTAAGGTTTCGGACTTGTTTTGCTTAGCCGATTCAAGTCTTCTGGTATATTGGGGCGATTTTGTGTCGTCCTACACCTAGTAGGTCGGTGTATGTTACCACGTTATCTACGTGGTGATGTATACCGTTCTTCCAGTGTAGGACACTCAAAATCGTCTCTCCAATTATCCCGTGAATGATCTTATCTCGCTTCTTTATCAGATGGATTTTCTGACTCCATTCTTGTGTTTTGTTGCAGTCGAGTTCCCTTCGGGCAGCCTCCCTCATCATGCCCCTACTGGTTGTAGCAGAGAAGTTTTCTCTTCGGCTTCCATCAGGCAGGCCATTGGTCCGTTCCCTCAGTTCGACAGAGACCGCTCCGACGAATCCTGTCGTTTGATACGGGATGGAGGGCGTCATTGCCTACGCCAGCTAATTACAGATGCTTCCTTCACTATAGATTCTACTTCTACTCAGGCTTTAAAGAAGCCCAGTTTTCTGTTCGGAGATCACGCTGAGGATCCTGCTACGTTGACTCTTACCGAAGAGCATTGGCTGAATCTTCACGAGGGGGCTCTCCTATACATTCCCTCCATTCCTCGTCAGTATTCTTTCACTCATTTGGAGGGACAGGCCGTGGAGCGACAGATGTCTTGGCATCTTACCGATGATGCTGAGCGAGTTCAGTGTGGATATACTTCTCATCATAAGACTCCTGGTTCTGCCGGGTATCATTACATCCGCGGTCTTCGGCCAGGGATTACGGGTCTTAATACTGCACCCCCGGGCGAGGTATCAGCAGCTGCTCCTACCGTGAAGAATCGTCTGGCTCTTCTTAGGAGGAGATTACCTCCACCAGATTCTAGGTGCTATGGTTGGGCTTTCTCACTACCCAAGGGATGGTGGACACGCATGACCAGTTATGTCTTAGGACGCTGGGAGAATGATTTGAAGAGCGGCGCTGGGAGAAGGATTTGAGGAGCAGTGGATTGTATGCACCTATACGAGCCACCATGTATGGACTCCAAGTCAGCTGCCGCCATTTCTTTGTGTTGTTGGAGACATACATGCCTGACAGTAACACGTTCCTGACCAGCGGCGGAGAGTTAGGGTTGTCCTTACACGAGATGCACCAGGTTTCTGGTCTTCCGATGGGGGATTGTCCATACCAGGAGTACTTTCCCTCGAACCAGCAGTTGGAGTGGTTGAAGAAGGATACTCCCGATATGCACGATACACTTTAGGACCTCACCTGCCATTATCATACCTCCTTGATCCAGACTTCTCCTCCAGCGAAGAGGAAAAAGCAGATCAGCTTGAAGCAGTTTGTTGTCTATTTGTTCCCGAATTTGGAGGGTGATTCTGGCGAGTCCCTTCGTGAGTTAGACGTCTTGACCCCTACCGCCGTTAATGAGTTGATGGAGAAGGCTGAGGCTCGTTCTTACACCATTGCCAGTGCTGAGGGAGCTTTTCCTGCGGGAACCAAGTTTCGTTCGTTCCTCCGCCGTGCACAGAAGTCCATTGAGCCCCGGACTCTACTAGCAGGCTATCTCGCCCTTTGGTTGAAGAAGTGCATCGTTCCGTACCAGCAGTCAGACGTCTTACCTCTCAAGGTGCTCTTCCCTGCGGTCCAGCTAGCTTATGGGAGGGAGCTTTCCCTGCTCCCAGCAATGGTTGCTGACATTCATTGCGGGCTTAGGTGTTTGGTCAGTAGTTTTACCCAGGTGGGTTCTGAGCCATCGACCGAGCTTATTTGTCCAAAGGTCGAGCTTCCTTATGCGTATCTGATGGCGTGGCTTGTTTTTCACCGTCCTGACTTGATATCGGCGCCCAGTGTTGTTGATGTTCCCGTTCCTTTCGTGCAGCTGTTGGAGAGGAGTAGATGGCTCGGGAAGAAATTCAGTGATGCACAACGAGAGCTTCAAGTTCGTAAGAGTTGGGAGTTCTTCAAGTGTTTTCCTCACTTTTCGGGTCGCTATGGTGATGTGCTGATTGATGAGGAGAAGCCTAGAACTAATCGGACTGCTCTCGACGTAGGTTGTTTCCGCTGGTTGGTAAACATCCGTGTCGGGTATCTTGTTCTTCGGGTGAAGAACTGCTGCCATATTGAGCCTTACCTTCCCTGCCGTTTTGCTCGTCAGTTCGGCTATGACCAACTATATGTTGGGAATCCGAGCCGTGGTTTGAAGGTTGAGGGAGGGCTTATTGACGGCGTACGAGCATGGTTATGGACTATGGTGGGCTGCACCGGAGCCCACTTTGCTCTTCCTTCATACAGACGCCAGCCGATGATTACTTTTCTCAGTTGCAAGTAGTTCCTTTCCGCCAATGAATCCATAGATGTGAGGAGTCTTTCAGAGTTACAGTCTGAGCACTCGGTCCAGACCGCTATGATGGCTGCTCGTAGAGCCGAGCTTGCTCAGAGACAGGGGAAGAAGCATGCCAAACCTTCTTTCTCGAACCAAGATGATGAAGAGCTCCTTCCTACTGATGATGATGACGAGACTTCTGCGGAGGAATATGTGGATACAGATACTGACAAAGAAGAACTTGACGCAGGTTTGTCATGCTCTTTGATCTTCTTTCTCAATTTCCATTGGCATCAACGAAAGATGTTGTTCACTTAATGAAATGACCCTTATCACCTCAGGTAGGATAGTCGACGATCATGAGCCGCTTGCTTCTCGTTGTGCGAGATTCGGTCCTAGCGGCCAAGCTCCCACGCATGTTGAGACGCGTGGCAAGTCCATGCATGAGCGACCTGTTGGTTTTATGAGGGCTGGTCCTCCGAAGAAGAAGAAGACTGTTCATAAACCACACGTCGGCCAGCGTCCCTATGGAGTGGATTTAGGTGACCTCCCCGATGGTGAGGAAGGTAACATTTTGTCATTTTCACTGCTTTAGGATGTCTCACCTTCTGGGATTTGTAATCATGTTTTATGTTCCAGGGTACTATGACGAGGGCGAGCTTCCACCGGACCCCGTATTCAGATTTGTAATCATGTTTTATGTTCCAGGGTACTATGACGAGGGCGAGCTTCCACCGGACCCCGTATTCATTGATTCGGATAACTTCGTGCAGCAAATGTGTGACGCCATTCGGGATGGTTCCCTCGGTATTGATATGAACATTGACACCGAGCACGCTAATAGTGTCAAGCCCACCACTCCATGTCCAGGTATACCTAAATTCGATGATACCCTCCTCGAGTAGCATTTGGCGGAGTTAGAGAAATCAGGATTCATTATTCTTTTGTGCCTCGCATTCTTTCAGATTTCCTGAATAACTCAAGCATGGATATTGGGGAACAAGGATATTCTGTTCCTGCTGCAGGTATTTCTGAGCTTTTCCTTCTTTCCCATCTTCTTGTATATATATCCAACACTTAAACTATTCTGCAGATGTCGTGATAGAAAAGCCAGCTGAGGATCAGATCTTTCATGATGTGGGCTTCGAGGAACAGAGGTGTGCCTCTGTACCAGGTTCCTCGGGACCTGACGCTGGATTATTAGCCGATATGTTGGCTGAGCAGGCCACCAGAAGAACCGTGGGACCACCCTTTGAGGGTGATACATTCACAGATATATGTCTAATTCTCTTCATTTTGCCCGGTCTTTTGTCTAACTAACGAAGGATTAATATTACAGCGCCAGTCATTGGGACTAACCCAATATCGATTCCCGGCATATCTAGCTTACCTCGGAGTAACGGACTTGCAGGTACGCATACGATTTAGGGACATCGTGCTCCTTTTTATTTATCTAACTTTTACTAATATATGGGTGCAATCATAGGACCAGCCACCGGGACTGATACTCTTATGACTCCTGGCATCCCCCGGATACTTGAGGATGATGGACCTACAGGTATGCAGATGACCTTATCATCCCGACCCTCCTTATTTGTCTAAATTTTTATTTTGACTAACAAAGAAGTGCAACTATAGGACCATCCGTTATGCCTGATGCTACTACAGTTTCTGGGACTGATAGTTTGCCTGAGAGCGGTGTTTCCCCGCCACAGCCGAGAGGTATGACCGATTTGCCTACAGGGGTTGATATACCCTCCATGACTACTCCTGCAGTTATTTCGGAACCTGTCGGATTTCAGCCTGAGGGGACCTCCGTTGGCATTGGTATGCTCAGAATTTGCCTTTAAATTTTCTTATCGTATTCGATAATCTCTTAGCTTTCCACACTGTTTCTTGTAGGATCTCGATCATCTCTATATGAGCATGTCCGCGCCCTCTTGGCTGATACCGATCCCGACAAAGACATTTTCCGTACGGACCTCAGCCTTTTTACCGTCTTTTATAACGGCATGATCGAGCATTCAGTTGCGCAGCTGATGGCTACCGTGGCGAGGAGGGATACAGATAGAGCCGAGCTACTCCGTTCTTTGGATTCCGGCCACGAGGAAGTGGCTAGGTTGAAGGAGGCCTTGAAGCACGCCGAGGAGTCCATTACTATCATTGCAGAAGACCTGGCTGGAGTAGAGCATTCTCGTGGACAGGCCCTCGAGAAGCTAGGATCTACACAGGAGAGATTGATGACGCTGAAGAATGAAGCCATGAAGATCTTGAGCAGTTCTGAGGAATCCGTCCGAGCTGGCCTGCAGGCAGAACTTGAACAGAGTTATATAGATAGGCTTTCTAGTTTAGAGTCTCATGTTCTTAGCCGTCAGCTGCCTTCGGGCTAACGAGCTTTTTATTGTATTCCTTGACTTGATCTATTAATAGAGACTCCGTATTTGATTCCTTTATGGTATTTCTTTATTTATTTTGAACTCAGCTATGATAAGATTTACAGGATTTTTGGCAAACCCCCAGCCATCAACGGGTTTGATATGCCTTTACCGATTACCGTTTGAATCGGGCTAGCATGTGAATTATTAAAACCCGTCTCACATGTAACGTTGCGCTAAAAAAATCGCTTTTCTTAGACTTGATGCTATGATTTTGAATACATAGGCTTAACCATTTCTTATAGGGAAAAGGTACCCCGCGCCGCGTATTAGACGACGACTTATCCCTTCTTAGGCTTCGGGATAAAATTCCCCAGGCTTAGACCCTGGTGACTTTTTCAATCGGCGAAAGACTAAACCGGCAATGTGTGTTAGACATAGACTTTGGGATTTTTGGCAAACCCCCAGCCTTCAACGGGTTTGATGTTCCTTTACCGATTACCGTTTGAATCGGGCTAGCATGTGAATTATTAAAACCCGTCTCATATGTAACGTTGTGCTAAGAAAGTCGCTCTTCTTAGACTTGATGCTATGATTTTGAATACATAGGCTTAACCATTTCTTATAGGGAAAAGGTACCCCGCGCCGCGTATTAGACGATGACTTATTCCTTCTTAGGCTTCGAATTCCCCAGGTTTAAACCCTGGTGTCTTTTTCAATCGGCGAAAGACTAAACCGGCAATGCGTGTTAGACATAGACTTTGGGATTTTTGGCAAACCACCAGCCTCCAACGGGTTTGATGTGCCTTTACCGATTACCGTTTGAATCGGGCTAGCATGCGGATTGTCTAAATCCGTTCCGCATGTGACGTTGTGCTAAGAGAGTGAATTCTCTAAGACTTTGTGCTATGATGCCGAATACGTAGGCTTTGCCTTTGTTACGGGAATAGGCTACCCGGCAACACGTGTTAGATGTTGACTCATCCCTACTTAGGCTTCGGGATAAAAATTCCCCAAGTTTAGACCTTGGTGTCTTTTTCAATCGGCGAAAGACTAAACCGGCGACGCGTGTTAGGCGTAGACTTATCTCTATTTAGGAGTTGAGATAAAATTCCCCGTGCACAAAGTGCCCGGATTGGAAATCAAAAATTATGTCCTTTTATCAGAATAAAGACGGATTGGGAAACGGGAGAGGAAGAATTTTATATTCTATCTCCCGGGACTGAAGAGGAAGAATTTTATATTCTATCTACAGTCGGAAAGGAAACTCAAGGTGGGATCTCCACCCCCAGAATCCGAAAAGATGAAACTAAAAGTGGGATCTCCACTCCGAGAATCGGAAAAGTTCAAACGGCCCTAACTTTTATAGGATTGGTCATTTGAATCAAAAGAATCCCTCATTCATTGAGGAGAAAGCCCAATTTCGACCCTAACTTTTATAGGTTTGGTGGAAAAAGGAACAAAGGCGGATTTTCGTTTATCGAAAAAGAATGACTCGGTCTTAGTCCTAACTATTTGTAGGCTTGACTAAGTGAGATCGGGAACAATCCTAACTTTTATAGGTTTGATTGTTCAAATTAAAAGTGGACCTCTCGTTCATGGAAGGAATCGAGAGAGGAATTTGGCTTTGGCCCTAACTTTTATAGGTTTGACCTGAAAGCAAAGAAAGTGGAATACAGGTAGCAAAGAAAGTGCCAATTCGTATTACCACTCAAAGGAAGCCTTTAACGCTAGGTGATTAGGACCTAACATGTTGAGTCTGAGAAATGCCAATGACTGGCAGATGGAAATGTTGGTGGATCCACCGTCAATTAGTTTGATCGGCAGATGGTTTGGTGAGGAAAGATTAACCTATCAGAAGGTTGGATCTCATCTCACAAAAATAACTCATAAGAGTTAGAGAATTTCGATAATAAGAAGAAACGTTCCAACGTTCTGAGTTCGAACGAGAATTTCTTATTCATCACTTCTACAATGATTGGGTTATCCCTAAGAATACCTCATATGATGCTCTTCTGGGAACTTCCCGATGCATCGGTTATCCTGAAGATACTAATGATAGTATTTTTTCAGGAACTTGCCGTTTATCGGCATCATAAGCCGGCCGCCGTCCTTGGTGACAAGGCGATATGCGCCACTCGAGTAGACTGTCTCTACTACGAATGGTCCCTCCCATTTGGGTTCAAATTTACCCTTCTTCTTGGAGTTAAGGATCATAGGCCGCCTCTCAGCTAGAACCAAATCCCCTTCTTTGAAGCTTCGTTGTCGAACCTTTTTGTCGAAAGATCGAGAGATTCTGGCTTGGTAGAATTCGATATGCTGTTGAGCTTCTAAACGCTTCTCATCTAGCCTTTCAAGTTCTTCAAGGCGCTTCTGATGTTGCTCTTCGGTCGTCATTTGAGTCGCGAGGGCAATTCGAAGCGACGGGATTTGAATCTCCAATGGAATAACAGCTTCACATCCGTATACTAGCGAATACGGGGTTGCTCCCGTTGGTGTACGCACCGTGGTCCGATAGGCCCATAGAGCCGCGCCAAGCTTGTCATCCCAGTCTCGTTTATTAGTTTTCACGAGTTTTGATAAAATCTTTATGATAGTCTTATTGAAGGCTTCGGCCAGTCCATTCGCTGTGGGATTATAAGCTGTCGAAGAGATGTCCTGAATTTTAAACTTTTCGCAAAACCTGATGAAGGCGTTGCTGACGAATTGAGGACCGTTGTCATGTACGATTCGTCTTGGTACACCATGCCGATAGATGATATGGTGCTTGATGAATGCAATAACATTGCTTGTTTTAACTTCCCTGAGTGGAACTGCCTCAGCCCATTTAGAGAAGTAATTGGTAATCGCTAGGATGAACCGGTCACCTTTGACTGACGGGGGATTTATAGGACCAACAATGTCCATTCCCCAGGTCTCAAACGGCCATGACGTAACCGAAGGATACAAATGCTCTGGAGGTTGGTGCATATAATTCGCATGTATTTGACATGCGTCACACTTTCGGGCATACGCGATTGCATCACTCATCATGGAAGGCCAAAAATATCTCATCCTTCTGATGCGGTCATAAAGCTTGGGGCCAGGTTGGTGTGCGCCACACTCTCCTTCATGTGCCTCCCTAAGGACTTCTTCAGTTTCTTTAGTCGATAAGCAACGCAATAGCAAACCATCGTACCCCCTGTGGTATAACGTTCGATTCTCCGTGTTATAGTAGAATCTTGGTGCCCTTCGTCGGATTGACTCTCTTTCCTTTACGTCTTCCGGTAGTATCCCGTGCAGGACGTAATCGATGATGGGGAAATGCCAATCTCGGGGTTCAAACTCAATTTGGGTTGAGTGTGTTTCCTTAATCTCTTCTTCTTCGCTGTCTTTATTGTAGATCAGCACTAAGAGTTGGTGAGTCCTCACTGTAACAAACTGTTCTGTTTCAGGAGGCTGCGCCAGTGATACGGCTAATGCTGCTAACGCGTCTGCGTAGGTATTCTGTAGCCGTGGAATATGTTCGATAAAGAATCCTTCGAATGATTCTGCCATCTCCACTGCCATCTTATGGTATGGTATTAAATCTTGGCTTCGGACCTTGTACTCTCCCTGAACTTGTTTAACTATCAGTTGAGAATCACCGAAGGCTTCGAGGTACTCAACCCCTAGTTCTTTAGCGAAACTGAGTCCTATGAGTAATGCATTATATTTGGCTACATTATTTGAGCACGGTTCGGTCAACGAGTAAGCTCGAGGCATCACGTGTTTTCCTGGGGAAACTAAGACAACTCCAACTCCGGAAGAAATCTTAGAACTTCCAGGAACACTTGCTACATTAGTTGCTCGTGAAGCGCCGTCGAAGTATAAACGCCATACTTGCTGGTGCGAAGTTGTGTTGACTTCGTGGGTTTCATCAGGTAGGCCGTCATATATCTCGGCGGTGTCCGTAGTTGGATTAGCTACCAGGAGATCACAAATGGCCTGTCCTTTTACTGACTTCTGTTGTTTAAAATGTAAGTCATATTGGGACAAGAGTAAGGCCCATTTTGCTAACCGCCAGCTCATGAAAGCTGGTTGAGTCATGAATACTCGGACTGGGTTAACTTTAGAGATGACATAAATGGTCTGTCCAACCAGATAATGCCGCATCTTCTGAATAGCGAACACCAAGGCGAGGCATTCTCTCTCAATCATAGGATATGGAGATTCGGTGCCTATCATGGTTCAGCTCAAATAATATACTGCTTGCTCATGACCGTTATCGTCATCTTGCGCAAGTAATGCACTTAATGAGTGGCTCGTCGCCTTGACATAAATCAAGAACGGTTTGCCCGATTTCGGTGCGACGAGTACGGGAGGTTTTGAGAGATATTCTTTAATACTCTCGAATGCCTTCTGACAAGCGTCATCCCATACAAAAGACACGCCCTTCTTTGCGAGCTTGGAGAATGGTTGGCGTTTTCCGGAGATGCTCCTGAAAAATCTTCGACATGGCTCTCTGGTATGTGGCACCTGCGTTTTTTAAACCGAAGGGCATGACCGTGTAGCAGAAAACACCAAGGGGTGTTCTAAACGCGGTATGCTTTTCGTCATCTGGATGCATCTTTATTTGATTATAACTAGAGAAACCATCCATGAAAGACATCCTCTCAAACCCGCATGTATTGTCGATGATGACATCCGTGATAGGAAGGGGAAAATCGTCTTTTGGGCATGCAGCGTTGAGGTCTCGAAAGTCGATACAAATCCTGACTTTCCCGTTCTTCTTAAGGACTGGGACAATATTGGCAAGCCACTCTGGATGCTGCTCTTCCCTAACGAAGCCCGAGTCAATAAGCTTTTTAACTTCGGTCTCGATTGCTTCCATCATTTGCGGACGAAACAGTCTTTGTTGTTGTTTGGCAGGTTTGACATCCGTCTTGATATTGAGACGATGCACTGCTACATTTGGATCGAGCCCTGGCATGTCTTCATAATTCCAGGCAAACACATCGATGTATTCCCTAATAAGAGAGATTAACTCCTCTTTCTCCTCAGGCGGGAGGCTGTCGCTAATGAATATAGGCTTCGGATTATCTTCGCTACCCATATTCACCTGGGAGGCTCCCTTTGCTCAAACCTGTCGCCG